GGAGATCGACTGATGAAGCGAAGTTTGAGTTGCTTCTTGGCCGTGCCACATCGGATTTCATGGAGGATGAGTCATTACGGAGGTTGGGGAGTATTTCTTTCTGAATGCTGTTTTAGGAAGGGTGCAAACATCGTTTGTGGAAGCGTTCCACCACACGTTGAAGTATATCCACATGAAGGGCTTATTACCAATCGCAGGGTTAATAAGTGCATCAGTCTTCTCACCCAGCTTGTCCGCGATCCTCTTGTTTGACAGGTTGATCAAACTAGAGAAGGGCAAGAAGTCTCATTGAATCAAGGATATAGATGGCATCAAGCTAGTCACCTTGTAGGTCCCGATGCAGTTTCAGTGGTCACTAATTCCAAGTGGAATGTTAAATCTTCCGATGGGCGACGATCATACCTTGTTGAGAAAAGAGGGAAGCTTCGCGTACGTCAGTCTGCCGACTCTCATGCAAGGCATGCGGATCGAGTGTGTGTCCATGAGTTTTCATGCTTTTAATTGATGAAACTGTCAGGGGTGCTCTTTGCAAACATATCTACTTGGTTTGTAGGTCTATTATAGTAAGATCAGATGATGAGGTAGTGGATTTGGTTATACAGACAATGATCTAGCCATAGGACCTCAAGACGATGTCCTCTTTACTGAGATTGTTGGAAACAGAGAACCCTCTGTATCTTGACATGGGCAACGTACATTCAAAGGATAGTTTCCAGAAGAAGCTGAAGGGTCTGGATGATTTGTTAGGTGTCAGTAGTTTGTGCATTGCATTATTAGATGCCATCTACAAGCATATCGATGCAGCAGTGCAGCTTTTGAAAGCTTCAGGTGCTAATCTTAAGTCCTTTCCTCCAGTTGTTTTGAATGCGGCACCTCGGCAGGTCACTCCTCAGCAGCCTCGGTTCAGATCTACAAAGAAGCCCGGCCTGCAGCTCTTCGAGAGTTCCACTAGCTAGGCCTACCCGAGAAGAGAAATTAGAGCAGATTGCAGAACGTTGTGATCTCTGCAGGTGATACGTACCAGGCAGGCTGTTTCTGTACCTGATAGTGTGGTTAATGTTATGTCTCTGAAACAGATAAAGCAGCTAGGATATTTTGTTAATGCAGATTGCATTGGTCGGGTTAAAGATGGTGGTGATCGAGGTCAAGGAGAGTGATGTTGAGGCAATCCTTAGCAATTTTGCGGATGCTGTGATCGATATCACCATTGAAGAACTGTCTCTCCTTTATGGAGGATGTAGGCACTGGAAGTGTCATCTCTGCCCAGTTGTAAAGTCAACGTTGAATATGATCGAGTGTGAGAAATGTTCCAAGCAGTATCTTTGGAAGAGCCAGACAGGATTTTGGTCCGTAACTTCTGCAAGGGTTAGTATATTTGAATGGTCACTTTAAAACGATTTCCACTATGGAACTACTATATCACTTCACTGTGGTTCTGAGGTTAAAATTTCTTCCCAAAAATGCCTAAACTTCCCTTTAATCTAAAAACACATTAATGATAAAGGAATAAAAATGAAATAACAAAAAAAGTTTAATTGATTACAAGCAATTATCGCCTTTACCGTAATTATCATGACTCGATCCTTTCTCGTTTATAGTACACAGTAGAATTATACGAAGACATAAGGGTTTTCTTTCCTGCACTCGTGTCAAAGCTGCATGAAGACATGCATAGTAATTTATTTTCTTTTTAAATTTATTCTATTGACAACTAAATATTAAGTAAAAGGGATACTATATAAGCTGTTAGAGCCAGATATAGGAGAGCTAAAAGAATTGATAGAGAAAGTTTTTCATATAAATGTAATGTGATCTGTTTAGTTTGCAAAATCAGGCATACACATCAGGCCCCTGTTTCAAATAAGGTTTAGTTTTATGCTATGTCTGCTGACATGGTAACTTTTAATCAATATTTCTATTGCCAATAGAGATATAGAAAAGTTATAAATATATTTTTGTGAACTATCCTCTTATTGTACAGGTAAATATGATGGACTCCAGACTCCTCTGAGATGTTCAACATTGGCACGTTTTCTTTGTATACATGGAGTATGAGGGATTGCAATAGGTAAGACAAAGATCTGTATGGCCAGGATCTGGTTTGCCTATAAATCATGATTCAGAAACAGGTCTGTGGTAAGTATCTTCCAATGCCCTGGCTACTGATGACGAGCATGGTTTTAATTTCTTCTCCCTCTTTTCTATCCTTTTCTTTGGAAAATATATATAATTTCAAGTGCAAAAGTTAATAAAAAATATCAAGTGTCTGCCGTTTGATTATCAGTGCATATATAGCCTCATCACAACTTGATATCTTTGCTACCTTCATTACATAATACATGTATAAAGTTTACAGTTTGATTACCAGTAGAGGAACCTCATTGGCTCACAGTTGCTAATGACAAAGAGAGGATTAGATTATAAAAGAAAGCTATTTTGAAATAGATGATTCTATATATCCTGCTAAGTACAACCCATTTTACTAATCCCTAAAACCTCAATGAAGTTAATGGCTTCATGAATGAGATAAATGTATCTAAATTCAGGGGCGGCACCAGGTTATTTAGTTAGGGGGCGAATAGGCGCGCCAAACAGGGGGGGGGGGGGGTGTCTGAGGGGGGATGTGCCCCCCTCGGAAGTTGAAGATTTTTAAAAAATATTGATGCACAAATTGCTTGATTTGGTGCATACTTTTTGCCAAATTAAAAAGAAAACAGTCTTAAGTTCAACTAACAAGAACAAAAACGCAGGGGGGGGGGGGGGGGGGGTATCTGAGGGGGGTTCCCAAATTAGATAGCCATGTCATTTTCATGACCCTTTAACCAATATAACACTATGATACAGCTCATTTGCCATTTTCATTATATAACATTATAAGAATGGTGTGTTGCCAATTTCATAGCCTATAAAAGGCTATGATACAGCCGTGTTGCCATTTTCATGACCCTTTAGCCTTTATAACAGTTTGAGACAGCCGTATTGTCAATTTCAAGATATTAGCTAGCAGTATATTGTCAATTTTAACAACATGATAACATATAAACTGGTTCATTTTTTCAAAGCTAGGATATCAAAATTCATGAGGTTAGATGGAATAACCTCCTCCGACACCCTCTCCTGTTCGGTTGCTGCGCTATACCTCACGGGGTCACATTGATGATGCCATCCAATTTTATAACACGGCCCCCTTGTAAAAATCCTGCGTACAACACTGCTCTCAGCACATATGAGGATTCATTCCATGTTGCAGAAAACCTTTTGATCATCTGTATTAACATGTACATGTTTATGACCTGGCTCTCTGCATGCAGACGACTCTTACATTTCAATTTCAGTGTATAACACCAGTTTGAAATCAAATTTTCCTATGCAGGTGATCGGCTCGGGCAATCATCAATCCTGATGACTCAGGAAAGGCCCCCCCCCCCTTCGGTGTGAACGCCCAGGGGGGAACCAAGAACCGGGGCTGCCAAGATATTAGGTCCATCCACTGTCTTCCCTCTCTGTTCACCAATTCCTGGACACCGTGGCGTCATTAAAACAAGTTGCGATTGATCTGAATCAATCGCAAGTTTGCAGTTTTCTATCTCGTATGTATATATAGGTCATAGCTGTGATTGATATCCGTCCCAAATTTAGGTAACTATCCTTGAATGCAAACAAGGATAGCATTTGGAAGAAGAAAAAATTGGAATCATGTTATTTAAACCGAGGAGGAGGAGGAGTTACTTCCTATACCTCTTTCAAAAGGGAAACCTTTTAAATTTTGTTCAAAAAAATTATAAACAAATCAGAATTAGATCTGATTGAAAAATATTGATTTGCCCTGTATTGATTAAATCATAATTCTCTTTCATTTTAAAATAGGATCATGCTTACAATGAAGTGTTTCCAAACATTTTTACTACCGGTATACAATATTTCCATGTTATTATGCTATATTGTTGTATAATACTTAATTGTGCGGTGAAAGTGTCATATTCATGCTTGTTTTTTAAATTTTTATGGGGATGTACTGGGAATAAAGTCATTTAACGTAGAGGCTTATGATGTGTTTTTTTTCTTCTTGGTGCTAGATGCATGAGCATTGTCATATATTGCCATGTGCCTTAACCGCGTTGAAGTTTGAAAATATTAAAGGAGGGGAGGAGAACGAGAGAGGGGTATATGAGAGAAAAAGAGAGGGAGAGAGAAGAGAGAGAGAGAGAGAGAGGGGAAGGGCAGAGAGAGAAAGAGAGAGAGAGAAAGCACAGGTACTTTTTATACCCCTTTGTAAGTTGTCTCATGATGAATTAATAATTAATTTATTAATTTATTTATCATAGTTTTTATTTCAACAGGGTGGTCTCATTCAAGTTCATTTCTGAACCTGCTCTCCCAGAGAGCCCTGCATTCACATAAAAACATGTACAATTAATAAAAACATGAATTCACAACATACATACAAGGGTAAAATATACATGGCATATACAACAATTCAACTAAGATTCATATAGATGAGAAAGGAAAACAAAGAAAGATTTAACATAGGTAACAAAAAACACACATTAACAATTATAAGGAAAAAAGTACAACTATCAAATTGAAACTAAATGAATGAAATGTAATAAAGGGTTCATTATAACCGCATTTTTTCGGGGAAAGTTGAAATATTTTCAGTTGCCCTCGTATATTCTGGTATGCATTTATATTAGGCAACATGCAGGAAGCTTGAAATGGTATTAAAGGAGGGGAGGAGAACGAGAGAGGGGTATCTAATAGAGAAAAGAGAGAGAGAGAGAGGGCCTGCAGGGCGGAGCTATAGATATGGAGAGAGAAAGCACATATTTAATACCCCTTTGTTCATTATAACCTCAATTTTTCGGGGCGAGTTGAACTATTTTCAGTTTCCCTCATATATTCTGTTATGCATTCATAGGCAACAGGAACCCGAACCCCCATCCATATTTGAATATCGAATATCAAACTTCACGTACGCGTACGCCGGTACTGACCGGTTAACCGAACCGAAACTTGGAGTTGAAAGAAGGAAGGAAGAAATGGCGACTGCAACTGGAAGTTCTGGCGCTGCTGCGGCCTCTGAAACACCATCTGCACAGCCATGGCCAAATATAAGGGAAGCCTATGAAATCAAAACGGTTTTAGGTAAGTGTCCATTACATTTTGTTGTTGAAATCAATTTTGAGGCAGGAAATGTAAAGTTGTTTGCCTGGATTTGATAAGAGATGGTGCTGAGCTAAGCTGTGTGCCCTGTGTGGGCTGTGCAGTGGCGGCTGTAGGCCTATCCTGTATTGCTGTAGGTCTACTCTTGATAGTCTTATCATGTGTGTTGACTCTGTTGCAGTTTCCAGGCTAGCCCGGTATGACAGGTCGCCTAGCTAAAGGGTAGCCCCGGGGGTAGCAGAGGTTTACTTTAAGCTTTAGGTCTAGCTCTGGTGACAATATGAAATATGATATTAATAAACCTAGCCTTAATTGTAAAGGAAACCTAAAAAGTATAATAAACAAGTTCGTAAACACCCCCCCCCCCTTTCTGCACCAGATGTTGTGAGATGAACCTTGCACCTGTGCACACTGGCTTTGGGTTGCGCTATAGAGACGGCCGGGAGTAGTGGACGTTGTCGTGACCTGGACTCTTCTTTCGGCGCTAGTTCAGATGCAGGCGCTAGCGTACTTTCGTATCCATTCTTGTCCCGTAAATCTTATTAAGTTGTTTTGTTTCTCACCTGTTTCTTGTCAATTTTCTTGTCTCTTTTGAAGTTTTTTTCTAAAATCAAAGACATTATATTTATCATGTACACTGTTTCACTGCAAACGTCTGCACGATGCACCGACGGTGGGGTGCGGGCGCGCACATGCACCCTGCTCGCGTGCATGAAGTTAGCGAGAGTAATCTCAGACCCTCATTAAATTCATGAACATGTAAAGTGATTTACATAATGACGATGATTGATCATCATTACGGTTATTATTTGAACAAAAAGTGAGTTCGTAAATAAATAGCTCTAGAACGCATGACCCCAAAATATCCACAGATCTTTTACACGATGGATACGTCCCACATGTGCATTTTAGAAAAATCACTGCCAAAGGGATGGAGGTGCTTCATGAAAACATTTTGTTTGCCTCTTGAGAAGAATATTTCCACCTGTGTATCAGATAAATGTACTGTTGGTGCATAAATGAATACTGATTACATAACTTTCATGAGCACGATCCGAGTATTCGTCTCAATGGTTTTACAATTTGGGTACGAATGACCTTTATCTGCCCATGCGCAGATCCTAATTACGAACTCGCTTATTGATAAAGATTTAGTTGATTTTTGGTATCTTTTAGCCGAAGATACGGGTCAAAGTCTGGATATGATTCTGAACTAGCGCCCTTCTTCCTTCTTAGTCATAGTCTTAGTACTGAGCACTTTAAAATCGGTTAAAAAAAAAAAAATTAAGGGAAATTTGTTACTGGAAGTCTGGAATGATGCGCTTTGCTTACCTTCCATGTATTCATGATAATAATGAACTAATAAAAGGTGATTTATTTTGAATTACAAAAATGCTGACCTCTGACGAGAGTTTGCAATGTTGTTTCTGCCTCAAACACAAATACATGTACATGCTGTTTATATGAAAATGCTGTTTTTCGCATTGCCAATTTGATGCTTACTGTATAGCGATTAATGTAGTGTACTGATGTGTACTCACAGAGTTCTCTGAATTTAGTGAACTCCCTGCATGTGCTTTTTTACTCTTATTGCTATTATTGTAAAATAAGTATCAAATTAGTAATGCAAAAACAGGCATTTTTACGTACACGGCATGTACATTGTAGTTGCCTTTGCACTCTCGCGATGGAGCTGGTGCATAGTGCATACTCTAAAACAGGACTTCTTAAAGTCCAAACCGCAGGGCATGCCGATTCGGACTGACTAGAACAGTGTCTCCAACTGCCTTACATGTATTTTTAAGTAAATAGAGAATTTTGAAAGGGTCAAGGAATTTTGAAGAAAAATTAAAACAAGCAAAAGGAATTTAAGAAATCTGGAAAAAAATCAAAAACTTCCTGGGGCTCCACTCCCATCAAAGGCTCTCCCCCTGCACCCCATCAGTAAAGATAAAGTGGTTCCGAAGGCAACTTTTTTGCATAAATTGTCCTTTAATAGGAGAGTGAGAGTTTTATGTACAGTAGTTTAAGCTTCTAACAAACACTCCTGTGGACTTTTTATTATTTACACAATTTCTTGCTGTCTGTTGGCTCGAGATCACTGGAGCGATGTTTATAATACATGTACATGCAGCAAGATTCCCTATTCAGTGCAGGGTTAATCCTTTCTGTCCCACTGAATATGTGTCTAGTATTAAAGCCCCACTGTCCTACTTGTAGCTACTTGCTCCCTCTATATATATAGAAAACTCCCCAAATCAGTGCCTGTTGGTCCCCCATGATCCTCTTTTTCTTATGTTAGTTGAGAGCTGAGTTAAGGAGATAGCCACCTGTCGGTGACCTCGCTGTTGGTCTAATCCCTTTTGGCCCATTAGTAATGACGGGCTTTAAAGGCAGTGTACCCCTTTTGCAGCCAACATCAAATTCTGTACAACTTTGCGACATTATGAATACCGTATGTCATTTATCTGTTAAATTTAAATGTTAGCAGTGTCCTAGTATTCAAATTATGCAAGGAAACCTGTTTACTTTGTACACTTCACTTTCAGATACTATTGACTGACTGACTGACTTTTTTTTTTCTTTGGTAAAATCATACATAAAATAGCTGTGAAGGGTATGAGCATTTGTCTACATCATTAACCTACTTCTTGTAATGGCCATAATTAAACTGATTGAATCTTTGCGCAGCACAAAGCGTACGGCCATTTGGTACAAGGGTCTGACAAATCAGATGACCGTCTTGAGCGATTGTAACTCACCCTCTCTCCCAAGGTCAATTTTATACAACAGCGGGAACCACTCCTCTCTTTACTAATGGGGTCCACGGGTCCCCCTTAGGGCCCCTGCATAGCCGTCGTGGGCGATCATAACTCTAATCCATCCCTTGAAATTAAATGGCACTGCCCCCATTATGTTCTCCTTTCAAAGACCACAGAAACCCCCTTAGATTGAACTTTCCATCTCTTTCAGAAAAATCAGAACACCCCCTTACAGGTACACTGTATGTCCCATTTGCAGGCAAAAAAAAAGAAAAAGTTAGATTCAAACAGTATTTGAAAGATAATACTGATTTAAAACTTCCCTCAAAAGGAAAGGGCTTGTAAAGGTTTTTTGTGGGAAAATAACGACCATCAGTCTGATTTTCAGACCCTTGTACCAAATAGTTGTACGCTTTGTGCTGCGCAAAGATTCAATCAGTTTAATTTTGGCCATTGCAAGAAGTGGGTTATTGATGTAGACAAATGCTCATATGTACCTTTACAGCTCATTTTATGTGTGTTTAAAGGTAGTTTGTTCCAAAGTTCAGCAGAAGTCTTGCAGAAAGAGCGATGACCATAGAAAGAGTTGACACCAAAGTAGACACAAGCTTTAATTGTGAAGATGACCGTAGATTGCGTGAGGGTTTTTCTTGTTTAATCTGTTATTCAGTTACTGTATCTATATCATCTGATTCTGTATGTGTTCAGGAGGCTACTAGACTATTTTGGAATGGCCTTCCTGAAGACATCAAAAAATGTTTATCCTCTGATTCTTTCAAAACTCATCTCAAAACATTTCTTTTCAAGTCTTGATCTTTTTTCCTGTTTACACGCGCCTTGAGCACTCCACAGAGTGGATTTGGCGCGATATAAGTTACATTATTATTATTATTATTATTCAAATCCTGTATGGAAAAAATCTAGTCGATCATCAATAACAAAGAAAATTGAAGTTTAAGATTTCTGTACAGAGCAAATTGGAGAGGAACTTGCAAGATTACCGGTACATTTACTGTTTGTGTACACTGCTGCCAATTTGTGTTTCACTGATGACAACTTAAAAAGTTCATAATTTTCTTATTTTTAATAGGATTTTGCTTGACTTTCACAGATCCTTTCATTTTGTGCTTCTATTAAGACCAACTTAAAGGTAAAGACCAGTTATGGTCATGCAATTGCATTGTGAAAGAAACGTTGTGGAATCGATCAGAAAAGGTTGATCATCTAGCATCTAGCATCTACAAGGTTCTGGAATCATCAAAATGATAAGAAATTTGGCCCATTCTTAGTAAAGTTACAAGCACTATACACAGAAAGATGTATATGGGACTACCCTATATCCCTCACAGACCATGAGAGAAACAAATTTACCAACATATATGAATTAGTAGACGGTTTCCCGGCAAATTTTTTATCATCATGTATTCGTCAAAGCATATTCTTTCACATGATTGGTAATGAGAGCTTCCATTTCATTTTTTGAAATTGGGGCATTTCCAATACTGGTCTTTACCTTTAATATCAGGGTGTACTTCCCCTTAAATGCACATTCCACAAGTAAAATATAAATATTCTAATTTAGTATGTCTAGGAGAACTTTGTTTTTTGTTTTTTCTTTTTCATGTTTGTTACATGTATTTTTCTTGAAGTGCCATGTACACAGAAAGGTAGACCTGTATGCTATACAAGTAGCTACTACTATTATTTATTATTATTATTAATATATAACTGAAACATTGAGTGATTTCACTGTGGGATACAAGCAATTGCAATTCAAAATTATCTCTCTTTTGAAAACCCTGAAATATTCAATTAATTTAAAAAAGAGGGTGTACATGACAGCTATCGTAGTCTTTCACACACAAATCCACTTCAGTTTGCACAGTCATCAGAAATTGTGAAAAACAAGAATTTTATTGTGTTTGACCCACATTATAGAAAAGATCAAATAGAATCAGATGTGAGGTGTTTATTCTTTCTTCTCTTCCCTTCTCTTTTGTTGTTGCTTTGGTTTGATCTCTGTCATAGAAACAAATTGCATAAAGCTTAAAATAGAGCAAGCTGTCGTTCAGTTTGACAAATTTTTGTCTCTCTTTGTATCCACTCACTCTATTATGCATTTTCAGTAGTGATTCTCTGTAATGTAAATAGAACCAGAAATTTTATGTGACAGTTTGACAGATTCTTTTCTCCAATCTTTTTCATCACGTCACATAACTTTACATGGTGACTTTTCAGTCAGGAAGCTACTCACAGAAAGCTTACAATAGAACTGGATGTACATGACATGTCACAATTAGAGAGATTTTTTTCCCGATTCTTTTTGTCCTGATTCTCTTTGTCCCATCAAATATTTCAGTCATGAAGAATACCTCCCAAAACCTTAGAATACAGGTAGGAGTCACTGTTTGGCAGATATTTGTCCTTTTGGGGGGTCATGATTCAGATTGTTCCATTTTGCTTTCATTTATCAATCTGGTATTTGTATTTAGAAATAAATAATGAATTAAATATGTTAAGTTGGCATTTCATAGCATTTTAAAAATAAGTTTGAAATTCAGGGTCTAAAATAGGTGAACATCAGACTAACATGGTTGTTGACTATGTACATTTACTTTTCATTCTAGTCTTTGAAAAAAGTGCAGACCTTACATGTACATGTATGTACACCTGTAGGTAAACCCAGCGTTCATGTACATGTACATGTCAAAATTTATTAAGATACGTGTATTCCATAAACATCATAATATTTCTGTCGGTGGGGCTTTAAATGGGGCTTCAAATTGATGCAAGGATTTTTTTGAATAAGCAATGCTTTTCACCAGAATCTTCTTTGTAAAAACGACTTTTACAAATCTCAGCCATGCAAATCTGCCTCTGTGTTGTAAGATCACTTTCAGATTAGGAGAAGTGTATTCTTTAATGAGTATTTTACATTGAATGGAACGTCTCAACTCAGTAAGCATGGCTGAGATTTGTAAAAGTTGTTTTTACAAAGAAGATTCGGGTGAAAAGCATTGCTTATTAAAAAAAATCCTTGCATCAATTTGAATCACAATGATTATTTGTCGCATGATTCTTTTATTAAATAACCTTGTTTTCTTTTTTGTTTATTCAAACAAATATTCGCATCAATTTGAATCACAATCATTATTTGTCGCTTAATCCCTTTTAATGACCTTGTTTTCTTTCTCGTTTGCAAGGAGAGAAGAAGATATGTCACGTTAAAGACATCATAAAGATCAGTGTTGTATGCGTATATATTGTATACACAGGCCAGTAACAGCTATGTAGCTTGTAAATTTGTAAGAGGGAAAATGCTGATTGAAATGATAATGATGAAATAGCAAATAATTGAGGAGTATCATAGGTACCGATTCAATGGATATTTGTATAAAAAAGAGCCCCAGTCAGTACTAAAAGAGCCCCCGTGAGAAGGCTCACGGGGGGGGGGGGCTCTTTTTGGGGGGGAAGAGCCCCCGTGGACAAAAAATTAATTTGAGCCCTGACCTGTACTATTGGAAAATAATTACAAGAGGATAATTATGTGTATTTTAAGCAAGATCATACAAAACATATGTACATGTATACTAGAACTTGTTTAGGTAGACACAATAGGTATAACCTTTCTGTAATCAAATTACTGTGTGTCATTCTTATTGACTATAAACATTTTTTGTCTCTTTCACTTTCTATTAAATGCTTACCTATATTTCCTTTTTCTGTAAATTTTCATGGATATTTCCTCACTTTATAAAAGAAATTGATCAACAATTTTATCTATTTTCGTGACTTGTTATAGTATAGTATGAATCTTCATGAATTTATTGGGAGTCAGCAGGCTTCCAATAAATGTTTACTTTAACCTGCATGTACAATATGCAAGTTTAAAGATGATGAAGCGGATCATAATCAAATGATTGGTTGAGAGCATACACATGACCAGGCATTTATTTTGCCTAACACGTATTAGTTTTACTAATGACCGGTCATTGGTGTAAATACTTATGACCGGTCATTAGTAAAATCATGTTATAAAACGTCATTTTATATAACAAATAAAACATCATCATATAAAACAAATAATACACATCATTTAGTTCGGGCATTAGTTAAATTACCCACACTTGGTACAGTTGTACCTTCAAAACAGTCCAAACACCCTCGGCTATTGCATCGGGAGTGTTTGACTGTTCTAAAGGTACCTTGTGTGGGTAATTTTTACTAATGCCCTCACTCGTAACATATACATATTAAAAGGCAAAGCAGTTTTAATAAGCTTGATCTATTTATTATTGATATTATTTCGGCAATTTCACGTGTCACCAACAGGTCATGGAGCTACCGCGACCGTCCACAAAGCAGTCTGCATTCCTCGTGATGAGGAGTGCGCCATCAAGAGGATCAATCTGGAGAAGTGCAACACCACCATGGAAGAACTAGCGGTAAGAGAGATTAAAAGAGAAGGTTGAGTTCTGGGAAGAGGTGACAAATAATTTGTGAGCTTTATATCATTGTTATTATGCAAGGGTGGAAGAACATCAGATAAAACATGTTCCCTGAAAAGCATGGCTCTTCAAATGCCTTCATATTCTAAATATGGCATGTAACATCGTAAAAATCGGGACAGATTTTGACGTCACTTGTTCGTGTAGTCCCATATACATCCTTCTGTGTACAGTGCTTATAACTTTACCAAGACTTGGCCAAATTTATTATCATTTTGATGATTCCAGAACCTTGCAATACACACCAATACTTACATGCTAAATGATCAACTCTTTGTGATCGATTCCACACCGTTTCTTTCACAATGCAATCGCATGACCAGAACTCAACTTTATCTTTTAAAAAACCCTCTCAAGACAAACATTCCACATGTTTTGGTTTGGCTCAATAACTTTTGAGTCAGAGTCCTAAACATACCAGAGGCACGAGTAGAAAGGGCAAACATTTCTGCATTCATTTCCATTCATTTATGTTGTGTGGCCATATTGTGTTTGATTACAGGAATTAAAAAAAAAAAAAAATCAGCTTTTAAAATACTCAAATTGGCAACACGTTGAGAGGCTTGGAAATCACTGTTTTCAAACAAAATTGTCAATTTCTTAACTTTTAAACATAGCTATTAAGAAATTCTTTTTGCCTAATTGATCATGAGCCCGCAGCCACTGAGCAGCGCCTTTGCTCTATCCCTTTATATTGTTGAACGCCAAACAAGGTAGCAGCAACTCCCGTCTGTTAACGTCTTTTGGTATGAGGCGGCCGGGGTTTGAACCCACGACCTCTCGGTTGTGAGACGGACGCTCTTCTGACTGAGCCAACACACCGATTTTTAATTTTATTGGAATAATATAGCAATTAAAGAAAAATTAAAGAAAAATTAAAGAAAAATATACATTTAACAACTAAATTATTCATACCCCTTGTGAATATGATATGTTTGTGTTCTTTGTACAGTACATGTACATGTAACTCCAGAATGAAAGGTGGACTGGTCGAATAAGGGTTTTTGTTGAATACTTGTAGATGTAAGGTTTAATATGTTACGTTCTCAAGAAACATAAATCGGGACAAATCAGTTATTGATTGTTGTTGTTGTTGTTTGTTTCTTTTGTTCGTTTAGAAAGAGATCCAGGCCATGTGTTTGTGTAAACACGTCAACGTGGTACAGTACTTCACCTCCTTTGTGGTGAAAGATGAGATCTGGCTAGTTATGAGGCTGTTGGAAGCTGGTAAGTTCTTACAAGATACAAGATACAAGATATTTTATTTGGTTTTTGCAAACAAGTTACATAGAAATTTGATTTCCACTGGCATCATGGCTCAGTGGTAGAGCAGTGGTTTCCTAACTGAAAGGTACCTGGTTCAAAACCAAGTTGATGCACTAGTGCCCTTTAGAAAGGCACTATATTAAAGATCAGTGGTTTCCTAACTGAGAGGTGCCAGGTTCAAAACCAAGTTGATGCACTAGTGCCCTTTGGAAAGGCACTATATTAAAGATCAGTGGTTTCCTAACTGAGAGGTGCCAGGTTCAAAACCAAGTTGATGCACTAGTGCCCTTTGGAAAGGCACTGTAAGAGCAGTGGTATCCTAACTGAAAGGTATCTGGTTCAAAACCAAGTTGATGCACTAGTGACCTTTGGAAAGGCATCAATCCCCATTGCCAAGTCCCCTGGAGAGGACTTAAAGCCATTGACTCCCTGGTTGCTTTCCTGATTCAACAGGCAAACGCTGGACCAACTGGGCCTACTCATCTCCTCTATTTAATGCACTACTCTGCTCAGAACCCTATAACAAAAATTGATTTACAGTCAATCATAAAAATCTATTGTACATGTATCCCAATCTTGCAGCAATTAATCATATCTTATCATGCATCGTATCTGCAGGTATCTTTAAGTCACTAGTTGCAATTAATTCAAGGAGGTACAATTAATTTTGGGGCTCAAATTAGCCTACATGTATACATTGAAATCTGTTCATAAAGACCGCTCAAGGGTCACATAAAAAGTAGTCTTTATAAGCAGTTGGTCTTTATGTACAGGTTAGTACAGGTTTCACTGAGTAACCTTATTCAAGGGAAACAAAAGATGTGGTCCTTATAGACAGATGGTCGCTGAATTTAGCAGGTTTGACTGTATCATGGTCATATTCTCTTTTTTTTTTAAAGTTCTGGTTTATACATTGTTTAGGATTATTTATTCAGTTTGATTTAAAAACAGGGTAGTCTTTTCAGTGCCAAAGGCCTTCTTAACAAAAGAGCCCTGTACATACAAACATTTACAAACAAATAGAATACATTGAAGAAAACAAAGACATTATATAAATAACATACCATAAGAGATTGAGGAAAAAAATAAAATTAAAACTAGATCAAAATGAACATAAGGCCTGAAATATTAAACATTTAGGATATTATTGATACAATACAAAATACCAATACAAATTCATCTCATGCAATTGCTGTAAAATTTAACAAAATTCCCTCTAGTATCAGAATAAGTAAAATAAGGGCACTAATATCATCTAAAATCATGAAAGTTGTTTGGTACAGTGTTTACATCTTTGCCTTTTTTGTCAGGTTCGTGCCTCGATCTTATCAAGTACATGATGAAGAAAGGGAAAGGAAAGGGTGGTCTCTTTGAGGAGGCTGTCATTGCTACCATCCTGAGGGAAACGTTACAAGGTCTAGACTACCTCCATGAAAATGGTCAACTCCATAGGTAAGATTATAAGAAATTCCATCGACATTTCATTGATCAACTTAAAGCCCCACTGTACTACTTGTAGCTACTTGCTCCCTCTATATAGAAAACAATGCCTAAGCAGTGCCCGTTGGTCCCCCATGATCCTCTTTTTCTTATGTTAATTGAGAGCCGAGTTGATGAGATAGCCACCTGTCAGTGACCATGCTGGTTGGTCTAATCCCTCCTGGCCAAACTAGTACAGACAGGCTTTAAAGGAAAATCCAACCGTTGTAGTAAGTTCATTTGTATGAAAGCAGAAAAATGAGATGAACAGAATGGTGAAAGTTTGAAATAAATCGGACTAATTATGAGAAAGTTATGAATGTTTGAAATATGAGACTACTAAGTCTATGCAAATCTCAAATCGGCAGTTTTGTTAAAGTGGATTGTGATGTAGTAGCAGATAACTCTCTTATTTGCTGTGAGAGAAAAAATCTTTAATTTCTGTTTTTCTCCCTAGTGTCTTCTCTCTTGGGGCACTAAAAATTTATTATGGATAAGCAAATGTTATCATAAGTCCCCTGAAGATAAAAGACCCTGAATCAAACATTTCTGAAAAATTACAATTTTTGAGAATTTGTTTTTTGGAACAGATGGGAAAGTTGTCCGCACTACATCACAGAGACATTAAAGATTCAGCCAATTTGAAGAGCCCATACCTTAAGTAATGAAAACTTAAAAACAAATCATAACTTTCTAACTTTTTTTTACTGATGTCATTCAATCTTTCACCAGTCTACTTCTCTGATTTTTCTGCTTTCCTCTAGAAAGTTTACTATCAAGGTTTCATTTCCCTTTAACAATTTACTTGTCAATTGACCCATTTTCATGGGCTGAATTGATCAATGTTGTGTTTTCACCTTGGCATCCATAGCCATTGATTGTTCCTGTTAAAATTGAAAAAAAATCCACTTCCTCCTGTAGGGATATAAAATCGGGGAATATATGCTTCAGTTCCATATTAGAGAATTGCAGCTTAATTTAAACCCTCATTTTCTTTTGCTTAGTCAAACAGAAGTAGTAACCTCATTCAAAATAGAATATACCATTATGACTTCTATACTTGTTCATACTGTCAGATTTGGACCAATCCATTCTCTTCTACAGGTAGAAAATCATCCAATTTGTTCCCCCAAAAGGGCATTGAAGCAAAATTTAAACACTTGTATTTTCCTGCTGTGATGCACAAAAATTCACCCTTTTCATAATGGAGTATTCCATCCCTTCTTATTGATCCTGTTTAACTTGGACCAATCCATTATATCTGATAGGGATATTAAAGCAGGAAACATCCTCTTGGGCTCAGATGGTACAGTCCAGCTCGCTGACTTCGGTGTAAGCTCGTGGATCGCGACCGGTGGTGACCTCTCCCGTGACAAAGTTCGCACGACCTTCGTGGGTACACCTTGCTGGATGGCCCCAGAGGTCATGGAGCAGGTGAGAGTTCAAAGGTCAAATTCTTATCACTAGAAGGGGCAAAATGAAATGATTTTTGTTTCGAATGTCTACAATCTTCAAAACATTATAGTGTGCATAATATGTGACTTTCATCTTTATACTTATTATTGATGTTGCATTTAAATCAATAGTATTAAAAACAAATTAAAAACTGAAGATATCTAATGGTGTTTTCCTTACAATGAATACAAAAGTATTCGATCAACAGGAAACTGCTTTTAAAATTTAAAAAAATTATGAATCGTGTTGCTGGATAGTAATCAATTTTAGATGAGCATCGATTTCATATACAGGTATTCAATTCTGAAAACACTTCTTATTATTTATCATTATATAGTCCACACTTTGATCGGTGTACAATATAATGAAAGTGTTATATTTTTACCCAATAACCACAAGTATATGAATACAGTATGTACATTTTGTTTGTACTTTATGTACAATGTAGCATAGAACTTATAGTTATATATTATTTTAGATCCGTGCTTAATCATTGAACAGAAAGCTTTTCAAATGATTTGTTTAATTTGCCTGTTATTTTTTTCTTCATAAACATAGGCTCTAACAGTATAATTTCATTGAAGAAAATCAGTGATAGTAATGAATTTTACACCTTAAACAATTCCATTCCATCTTTTAGATATTTTTAATCATGTACATAAATTATGTACAACCATGTACAATGATTTTTTAAATTTTCTCAAGCTATGTATTCTTGAGTAAATGTAATTTGTCATATGATTTTGAATGCAATCGATAATGTTACAAAGTATTTATACGAAATATTATTCTGAAATTCATGAATAATGCAAAATTCATCCTTTTGGGTCCAAAGCATTGTCAAAATAAAGCCATTATTGAATCAAATCATTTTTAAAATCTTTTTTGTTATTTATTTTTTATTTAAAGGTGACTGGATATAACTTCAAGGCAGACATCTGGAGTTTTGGCATACTTGCCATTGAGTTGGCTACAGGGGCAGCACCCTATGCCAAGTTTCCTGCTATGAAGGTATTGTTATCTAAGATCTAAAACATTAGAAACGATTATATCAGAGAAGCCAACCGTTACGGTTTCGCCATATTTTTTACGGTTTTAATGCTCTTGTTATGGCGTTACGGTAAACAAGCAAAAGGTTATGGGAAACGATAAATAAAAGCACATTGTAGCGAATGCCGCCTATCTACACATAGCCTCCGTACACAGCAAGGCTGGACCCAAGTCACTTCTTCACCTTATCACTCAATACTTGAACCCGAGGACACTCTCTAAAGATTTTCAAGGAAAGGTCTCGTCTAAACCTAAGGAAATGCTTTTTCAGCAACAGAGTGGTGTCCGACTGGAATAGTCTCCCTCAACCTTTTTCTTATTTTTCTGCTTCCATACCAATGAAGTAACTACAAGCGTTTGATTGCCCTTTAAAGTTTATCAATTGGATTAGTGCAGTATGAAATTTTTATTACCCCATGCTATGATGCACTCTTTATACACATGCAGAGTTGCTAGTGTTTGTACTATACACGATACAGTCAATTTTTTCTTCTCAGGGAAGCTCTATTTTTTTCCAGGTACATTTTTTTAACGATTGTAAACATTGTAAATGGTAATGAAGCGCATTGTGAGGAACTGCAGTCCTTGAATGCAGTATAAAAGAAAAATGTCTTCTTCTCCTCCTCCTCCTCCTCCTCCTCCTCCTTTTGGTTCTTCTGATTGTAGGGTAAGGGAGCCATGATTTGTACCCAAAAATATTTTGGAGCTCTATTTTATAAATCAACATTGATTTTTCTCAATGTTGTAATACTGTATCGTAATTAAAATTTAAATTAAAATATTGTACATTATAACTGAAATATATCCATATTTTTAAAAAAATTTTTTTTTTTTTTTTGGGGGGGGGGGGGGGGGGGGGGGGGGGGGGGGGAGGGGGAGAGAAATTGCATTTTCGCGACACCTAACCTAAGCGCCAGGATTGGTGCATCGGGACCATGATTCGTAGAGCGTGCAAGCCCAAGAAAAATAAACGAGCAACTGTACGGGCATACCATGAAAAAAGGAAATAAAGTGGGAGGTCACCTGACATGTCATGTGATTTATGTAAACACATTTTTCAGTGCCCGCATCGCGGTATCATGGCTTGTGATAAACAAAACCTCCAGGTTAAACCTGATATTTTTGGATTTTCCACTCATTTAAGTTAACACCGTTTCTTTTCACCAGGCCAAGTGTACCTTCATGTATATTTCATTTTTTTGTGGCAGAATTAAGGTTTTTAGGAAGATTTTGGGATGAATTTCCGTAAGTTACTGTGTCTGTGTGTGTTTAATAGATATCTCGGCGGTGTAATTTTGAATATATTGATTTGTGTAATGAATCACTTTGGTGTACAATCTAGGTTACTCTACCCTGTCTTTTTCTTGTTTTCAGGTACTGATGTTAACTCTACAAAATGAGCCACCCAACCTGGACTCTTGCTCAGAAAACAAAGACGAGTACAAGAAATACAGCAAGGAATTCAGGAAGATGATCTCAAAATGCCTACAAAAGGATCCGACGAAGAGGTATAATAATAATGGCACTTGTTCAATGATGTCTTACAGATTTAATGTTCTTGGTCAGTTTGTCAAATTGAGATTTTTTTCCATACATTAAGTCTTTGTTAGCATTATCAGACCTACTGCTTCAGAAGTCGGTGCTTGGGAGTCAATTCTTTAAGAAACCAAGAAACAAGTGTTTTAATGACCTAACAAATGATGACTAACTCACAGAGGAACATGATAATTACACATATATCTCAAGAATAATTGTTCAAGGAATCTGTTCTCTTTCTTTTCAGACCTACTGCTTCCGAACTGCTCAAGAGTCAATTCTTCAAGAAACCAAGAAACAACTGTTTTTTTTTACCTAACAAATAATGACCAACTCACAGAGGAACATGATAATTACACATATATCTCAAGAATAATTGTTCAAGGAATCTGTTCTCTTTCTTTTCAGACCTACTGCTTCCAAGCTGCTCAAGAGTCAATTCTTCAAGAAACCAAGAAACAAGTGTTTTAATGACCTAACAAATGATGACTAACTCACAGAGGAACATGATAATTACACATATATCTCAAGAATAATTGTTCAAGGAATCTGTTCTCTTTCTTTTTCAGACCTACCGCTTCCAAACTTCTCAAGAGTCAATTCTTCAAGAAACCATGAAACAAGTTTTTTTATTAACCTAACAAATAATGACTAACTCACAGAGGAACATGATAATCACATATATATCTCGAGAGTCATTGTTCAAGGAATCTGTTCTCTTTCTTTTCAGACCTACTGCTTCTGAACTACTCAAGAGTCAGTTCTTCAAGAAAGTCAGGGACAAGAAGTACCTTATAACCAAATTTATATTACACAAAGTTAAGCAAATGGGTATGCTTTTCATTGCCACAGTCATTGCTCAAAGACTTGAATCTCTTTCTTTTTGGACCTACTGCTTCAGATGTGCAGTAGGAGTCGATTTTTTGAGAAACCAAGAAACAAGTTTTTTTATTGACCTAACAAATGATGACTAACTCACACATATATCTCAAGAATAATTGTTCAAGGAATCTGTTCTCTTTCTTTTCAGACCTACCGCTTCCAAACTTCTCAAGAGTCAATTCTTCAAGAAACCATGAAACAAGTTTTTTTATTGACCTAACAGATGGAGAATAACTCAAAGAGGAGCATGATAATCACATATATATCTCGAGAGTCATTGTTCAAGGAATCTGTTCTCTTTCTTTCCAGACCTACTGCTTCTGAACTACTCAAGAGTCAGTTCTTCAAGAAAGTCAGGGACAAGAAGTACCTTATAACCAAATTTATATTACACAAAGTTTAGCAAATGGGTATGCTTTTCATTGCCACAGTCATTGCTCAAAGACTTGAATCTCTTTCTTTTTGGACCTACTGCTTCAGATGTGCACTAGGAGTAGATTTTTTGAGAAACCAAGAAACAAGTTTTTTTATTGACCTAACAAATGATAATAATAATAATAATAATCCGGTTTTTATATAGCACTCAATACACCGATCCAACGATGTACCTAAGCGCTTTACAGATATATTATTACCTCGGTTATCGGATTCATGCTTACCCGCACACAATGTGTGCACATTTTCCACTCCCTGGGGAGCATTCCAGCCAGTCGCCATTTTACAGGCGCACACTTGCTCGTTCAACCACATGAACGTTCGCATCCTACCGGGTACCCATTTAACACCTGGGTGGAGAGTAGCAAGTGCAGGTAAATATCTTGCCAAAGGATATTAGTGCCGTGTCGGGATGATGAAATGATGACTAACTCACAGAGGAACATATATCTCAAGAATCATTGTTCAAGGAATCTGTTCTCTTTCTTTTCAGACCTACTGCTTCCGAAATGTTCAAGAGTCAATTCTTCATAAAACCAAGAAACAAATTTTTTATTGACCTAACAAATGATGACTAACTCACACATATATCTCAAGAGTCATTGCTCAAATACTTGAATCTCTTTCTTTTCAGACCTACTGCTTCCGAACTGCTCAAGAGTCAATTCTTCAAGAAAGCCAGGGACAAGAAGTACCTCATTGAGAGTCTCATTCAAGAAGGACTCAAAGTCAGACAAGCCCAGCAACAAAATGTAAGTCCCATGCCTCTCCTTCCTCTCCTTCCTCTCCTTCCTCTCCTTCTTCTCCTTCTCATCATCTTTCATTGGTTGTGGGGAGGGAGATGACTTCTGCAGCATACTCATCCACTATCGCTCTGGCTACTGTGTCCCATTTGCAGGCCAAAAAAAATGAAAAGGTTAAATTCCAACAGCATTTGAAAGATAACGACCAAATGGTCGTACGTTTTATGCTGCGCAAAGATTCAATCAGTTTAATTTTGGCCATTACAGGAAGTGGGTTATTGATGTAGACGAATGCTTATGTACCCTTCATAGCTCATTTTATGTATGTTATTACTAAAGATGAAAAAAAGACAGTCAGTCACTCAATAGTGTCTGACACTAGTGACAATGAAGTCTAGCAAGTAAACAGGTTTCCTTGCATAATTTGAATATAAGGACACTCCTAACGTTTAAATTTCACAGATAGGACATACATGACAGATTCATAATTCCTGCAAAGTACTACAGAATTTATTGTTGGCTGCAAAAGGATCATAGTATCTTTAAAGCCCGTCTGCACTACTTTGGCCAGGGGGGAGTAGACCTACCTGCAAGGTCACTGACAGGTGGTTATCTCATCAAATCAGCTCTCAATCAACATAAGAAAAAGAGGGGATCATGGGGGACCAACAGGCACCGATAAGGTATTGTTTGCTATATAGAGAGTGCAAGTAGCTATAAGTACCGTAATTAACGATGTATAAACCGCCCTCGTGTATTAAAGGTAAAGACCAGTATTGGAAACGCCCCAATTTCAAAAAATGAAATGGAAGCTCTTGTTACCAATCATGTGAGAGAATATGTTTTGACTAATACATGATGATAAAAATATAGTCCCATATACATCTTTCTGTGTACAGTGCTTGAAACTTTACGAAGACTGGGCCAAATTTCTTATCATTTTGATGATTCCAGATCTTGCAGTACACACCAATACTTATATGTTAGATGATCAACCTTTTCTGATCGATTCCACAATGTTTCTTTCACAATGCAATCACATGACCATAACTGGTCTTTTTTTTTTGTTTTTTTTTTGCCGACTCTGTCGGCAGCAAGCCAGGTCCATGTTAAAAAATAACACGCGGGAAGGCCTTTCATTTAACTGGGAGGTGCAGCTGAATGTGTAAGATCATTAATGTAAATTAAAAAACAGTAGAGGACCTAGGATAGAACCTTGTGGTATGCCGTGTAATAGAAGAAAAATTGGAGGAATTATTATTATAAACTACATATTGAGATCTATCAGAAAGATTACTTTCAAACCAAGATGACAGACAAATTTGAGTGTTGTTCTTGTTTCCGAGTGGTGAGTCAACACTCTGATTACTGAGCTGGGAGACATTGCCAGGCATAGCGCCAGGTGGAGGGGCATAAATCAAAACTTTAAAAAAAAAAAAAAAAAAAAAAAATTGTGTACCGTGTATAAGAAGTGCGGTTGATACAACGTTAATTATGGGAGTGCAGTGGGGTTTTAAAGGTAGTGTATCCTTTTGCAGCCAACATTGAATTCTGTAGTACATGTACTTTGCAGGAAATATGAATATGTCATGTACAGTATGTCCTATCTGAAATTTAAACATTAGCAGTGTCCTAGTATTCAACTTGTTGAAGTAAACCTGTTTACTATCTGGAAATCACTGTCAGACACTATTGAGTGACTGACTGACTTTTTTTTCTTTGGTAATAATATACATAAAATGAGATGTAAAGGATATGAGCTTTTGTAGCAATAAATGCTTCTTTTAATGGTCAGAATTAAGCTGACTGAAACTTTGCACACCACAAAACGTATAACCACATGATAGGCCTACAAGGGTCTGAAAATCAGACTATTTTCTATGCATAAGGAGAGTTCAGAGAGCTCTATTCGATAAAGAGAATTCAAAGATTCACCAAACCAATGGTCAACCTCAATCTGACAGGTCAAGCGAGTGCCGGGGTCAAGCGGCCGTCTGCACAGGACAGTCGACGGAGCCTGGGAATGGTCAGATGAGGAACTGGATGCGGAAAGCGAGGAGGGCAAGTCGGCAAGCATCGGACGATCGCCGAGGGTCCGTGCGCAGTACAAGGAGGATCTGGAGAATGAGATGGGCACCAAGACAGAAACCGAGGTAATATTGCTTCCGATTGAGAGGTTTACAAAATGTATCCAAGTTTCTGGACTTTTCATCCCAGAAACGGTGGTGAAAAACTATATGTGGTGTATTATAGTAACTGTATGAATGGAATCTTACAAACAATATATTTGCGGGGTCTGCTCGCTCTTTATAAGGACCGCTATTCATTTAGTCACGTGTTAAGGATAGCGGTCATTATGAATAGCAAGGAAAATTGTCTCAGGTTTGCTCGCTATTTATAAGGGCAGCTTTTCAAAAAGGATCGCCATTCATTTTGTCACGTGTTGTGGAAAGCGGTCCTTATGAACAATGGTCTTTCTGAATAGCGGCCCTTATGGATAGCGTGGTTGACCCATATTTGCTATCTTTTGGGCCAGTCATGCTGTTAAAGATCAGCTTACAAGTGACAAGATGATAAGAGGCCCCCTTGAATGCATGATAGTCTTCCGGGGTAAATTTGCCCTTTTCATCTATATAGATTTGGTAAAGTGGATGTACTTTATATTTTCGCAAGCCCCGTGGAAGATTCTAAGTATTAAAATCTTCTTGGACAGTGTGACTGGCTCTAAAGATAATAGATATACTGTTTTCTATAGCATTAAAGTTTGATTTATGAAGCCTATCAGGAGTCTGTTTCTGTCCATGTCACCATTGGGGACTGTGATTGACCCTTTAAACAAGCTTTAGGCAAGCTTTTAGGTTATGGAAAGAACTTCCCTTATAGCATGACACTTTTTTATGAATAGGCTGTTAGGACATTGATAAACTGGGCTCTTGTCGCACAATCCTGTAGTGAACACAGAATAGGAAGTAACAACTTGACTTGTGAAAAATTGTTTTACATGATTATTTTAAAGGGATTGGGTAACTTTGTCTCAGATTCTGATATAAAGTCCTTGATTTATCTCATGCTGCAATCATAATTGTAAACCTTTAGGTCAGTCAGGAATCCCATGACTTTTACAAGCCGATCGCTTGTCTGATTATCAAGATATTTATGATTGGATTTATAACACTACAGTCTTTCAGGGAAAATGAGTACCGGTAAGGTAAAACCGGTCACTCAAACATTTTTTCACTTTTTCTAGGCACTTCATGATCATTTTGAAGCGCAATTTTTTTAGGGCTTCAATATTACACCATAACACAGCCACTGATAACATGTAGAGCCATGTATCTTAGATTTAACATTGTTTTCACTTTTTCTAGGCACTTCATGATCATTTTGAAGCGCAATTTTTTTAGGGCTTCAATATTACACCATAACACATACACTGATAACATGTAGAGCCATGTATCTTAGATTTAACATTGTTAAACGATGCCTTTATTAAAACCAACCAAGTGGCACGAAGGTGACAAAGATTGTAAACCGAAACTTTCTTGTGATGTGACCATAGAGTATCAAGGACGAGGATGTCAAGACTGTGGATGCCCCTCGGAGCGGAGAGACGGAGCAGATCTCAGATGGAGGAGACCAAACCCCGCCCTTAAGCCTCATCCTCAGGCTCAGGTTAGTTCTTTATCTCCTCCAGTATCTGAGCGTTTCTTTTCTGATCAATGCTTGATTAACAAGCAGGCTTTTCCCATCATCATCATCGCCATTATCATCGCCATTATCATAGTCGTCACTTTTATCATCACCAGCACCGTCATCATCTGTACTATCATCTTCATCATTACCCGTCATCACCGTCACTGTAGTCATTATAACCATCCCCATCATCATCTTCATCAACATTACTAGTTTCTTTATCATTACAGTCATAAATTGTTATCATCGTTTATCATCATTATCCTGCCATCATCCTCATCACTGTAATAGTTACCAAGATCATAAAGCATGAATGCTTGAGTCGATAGCAGCCCGGGAAAGGGGGGGGGGGGGGGGTACATGGCGCTGTTATAGGAGTATGTAGGAGAATAAGAGTGTCATCATCATCATCATCGTCGCAACCACCACCACCATCTCCATCATCATCATATTCATCATCACAACCACCACCACCATCTGATCTGAATCATCATCATCATCATCATTACCACAACCACCACCATCATCTCCATCATCATCTCCATCATCATCATCATCATCATCATCATCATGATCATTGTTTTTGTCATATCATTGATAATGTTCTGATGTTGACTCTTGCATTTTTTTCCCACCCCCCAGGAATGCATCTAAGGAGTTGCATGACATCAGGTTTGAGTTTAAAGCGGGCCAAGACACACCCAATGGTCTCTCCCAGGAACTGGTCAAGGAAGGCCTGGTTGACGGCAGGGATGTCATCGTAGGTGAGTAGAATGATGATGTGTGAGGAGGAGGAGGAGGAGGAGAAGGAGGAAGAAAAAGAGGAAAGAGGAAAGGAGGAGAAGGAGAAGAAGGGGGAAGAGGAGGAGTGAGGAGTGAGGAGGAGGATGGAGGAGGAGGAAGAAGAAGGGGGAAGAGGAGGAGGAGTGAGGAGTGAGGAGGAGGAGAGGGGGGACAAAGTACAATGTGCATTTATTGAACCCTTGTAAACAAGCCATTTGGGTCTGACAAATACTGCATGTAGGGATAAGCATGCCTGAATGGGAAAAAAATATATGTGTAGCTTGGTTAATTTGAAGTTTGCCATCAACATTTTAATTCTTCCTGTACAGTTTTTAAACTTGATGAAGAAGGTGTGGTAGTCAAGAAAAGGTTGAAAGCACTGTAAATCTGCTTTTGGCCGGAAAGGATCTGACAGCATCTGTTGCAAAATCTCATTTTGTTTTGAATTTCTTCTTTTCTTTACAGTTGCAGCAAACCTAGAGAAGGTTGTTCAGAATCGTGAATGTAAATCCATGACGTTCAGACTGGTAAGTGCCCTGTTTTTGTTATTTACCCCACTTGATGCTAGTGTAATACTTAGTCAAGAATTGGTACCTTTTGAAATTGGGGCACAATTCTAAAGGCTCTTCAAAATCAGTGCTACTACTTATCTCAAGTTCTTAAATGGTTGAAATCATTGTAATAAAGCACTCTGTTTCAAGATATTCTAGGGTATTTCCATGTCAAATCACCCAATGGTTTTAATCAAACCATTTTTTATTTTGATGAAACTTAGTGTACTTGGTGAGTGTGATTTTACAGCACCAAATCTTATATTTTAGGTCAATCAGGTGAGGGGTTTAGGAGATACGGCCCACCAAATTATTAGATTTTCGGCAAAACTTTGAACCCTTACATCTCAGGAACTAATGAGTCAATCTTCAGAAAATTGGTTTTGTTGGAAAGGGAATTCCATTAGTGTTCCAGATCTATCATCTGCCATCATTTTGAAAATTGGTACATGTTGGGGTACTTTTGACCTAAGATTTGACCTTGAAATTGACCTTGTGGATCAGGTGACCTTGACAACAATTTTCATGAAATGTAATCTTGAAATCAACCTTGTCTTTCTGTTTTAAACTTCAACATTTTACCAATTAATCAATTTATCCCCCGATTTGTCTCTGTTTTATTTAGAACTCTGGATGTGAGGTGAATGAAGTGCCAGATGATAAGGCTCTTATAGGTTTTGCTCAGCTCACTGTCAGTTAGTCTTGCTTTCCAAACCCTAAAGAATAACTTAAAGGGCGGAAACTACACAGGATTAAAAAAAATATGTGATGTATAGAGAATTTATAAGAGTTAGAGCTTCTTAAAGAAGAATGGTATTGAATCACGCATTGCTAATTGTCATGAACCCACTAAAAATAGGTGTGTATGATAACAATAATGATAATAGTCACAATTGTATAGCGTTGAATACTACGTTTCTAAGCGCTTTACATTGTAATTATGTGTCTGTATAACCCTAGCCCGTTTCAGACATGGTGCTGTAAACTCTCTCAAAGAGACGTGCCTCTGTCAAAGCTCGTGTGTAAATGAATGTCCAAAAGCAATGTTTTAGGATGTAAACAAAAATTAAAGCTTACCTCCAGAATGGCCCCTGCATGGTTTCTATACTAAGAGATACAGACATGTAAAATGTGATTTGCATATCTCATTTATTTTATATTTATAGGGTTTGAAACCAAGTCAGTCACTTAGGTAGCTTGGGGGAAAATGTAGCGCCACAAAAAACGCATCTGGAGCATAATAGTACATGACATCTGTGGAAGAAAAGTTGTAATTCAACTTGCCTCGATGACAGTTTTTGGTAAAATTCAATCAAGGTAGTTGATGGAATTACTAGCTTTGTGTCCTAATTATATGGTTCTACATGAACAGAATAAGATTTTTTTTCAACAACTGTGCAATTTGCATTCCAGACGCTTCTTTCGTGCCACTTCATTTCGCGAAGCTACCTTAATATGTATACGTGCATATATTATCAGTGAATGATATTCCTGGATCGAGCTTTAAGCTGTAGATCCTCAAACTGTTTATCTATAACTGGGGATTAGTGATGCAAAGCTAACACTGGGGTGTTCGGAAATTAACACTGAGGGGTCAACAAGAATGTGACTACAAGACTAAAATAATATAAGGCTATCTCCTAATTATTAGAAAACCAACACAGGTATTGAATAGACTAATTAGAGAAGTTGTAAAGTGGAAACTAAGGTTATAATGCAAGCATTGTAAAGTTATATGCTATCTATTCAGTGTTTTCTATCTTCATCTTTATACTGACCGACAAGCTGCCATTCAGGTCATGTTAAACTGAAACTGGTTTTAAAACACTAGATTGTGGTGGTGTAAAATTATTGCAAAGGTGTTTTTATATCTTCAACCTTATACTGAATGTCAAGCTACAGGTGTTGTCATGTGTTAAATTCAGGTGTCAAAGAGCTGTCAATGCTAGGTGTTTTATTCCTACTTGTGGGTGTTTTATAACCAAATGACCACTGAGGGGATGCGAGGTGTAAGTTAGCACTACAGTGTTTAAAATTACTACTCCTGAGGTGTTGCAGCACTTTTACTGATGTGTTCTAAAGCGGTCACTGAAGTGTTGAAATGCTATCACAGAGGTGTTGAAATGCGATCACAAAGGTGTTGAAATGCGATCACAGAGGTGTTGAAATGCTATCACTGAGGTGTTGAAATGCTATCACAGAGGTGTTGAAACACTATCACAGAGGTGTTGAAATGCTATCACTGAAGTGTTGAAATGCTATCACAGAGGTGTTGAAATGCGATCACAGAGGTGTTGAAATGCGATCACAGAGGTGTTGAAATGCTATCACTGAGGTGTTGAAATGCTATCACTGAGGTGTTGAAACACTATCACAGAGGTGTTGAAATGCTATTACTGAACTGTTTAAATGTTATCACTGAAGTGTTGAAATGCTATCACTGAAGTGTTGAAATGCTATCACTGAAGTGTTGAAATGCTATCACTGAAGTGTTTAAATGCTATCACTGAGGTGTTGAAATGCTATCACTGAGGTGTTGAAATGCTATCACTGAGGTGTTGAAATGCTGTCAATGCTGTGTTGAAATTCCATCATTTAATTGTTGTAAAGCTGTATTGGCCTACAATGCATTAATGTGACTGAGCTATGAAGTTAGCCCCTAAATCTTCGAAATTATCTCATATTTCTTGTCATCGTGATCATTTCTTCGGACAAAACTGGTTATTCAATGACATTTTCAGCTTTATAAATAAAGGATATAAATCAAATATACCATGCACTGTTTTTTAGGCACTGGTTAAATTATGTATTCACTTCGGGGACAAGCATAGTAACTATTTTCTTTGGGGTTAAGCCCCTCAGAAAATGTTGATATACCAGTCACTTAGCAGTCATATACCAGTTTATAATTTTTACTGGAGCGTCTCGGTGCATGGTAGGATTTGAGTGATATGTACATATGTGTACTATATTACTCTAATTTTTTTTGGCTGTGCAGGGTTTTCATTCATAGTGGATAAAGAGTAAAGAAGCACTGTCATTTTTCTTTTGGCTTATGGCGGCAAGTATTTTTTAGTCAAAAGAAAGAAAAATTACCTTGAACTATGCATAACTAACCTTAATTTTTGTTGAAGGATAGTCCTTTGGAGGTGTTTGTAAGCCACGGGAAGTTGGTAAACTCTAAAATCACATTGCCAGCACTTTCATTTGTGCATATTGAGCATTTGAAAGCACACATGACTCCAAGTCCAAAGTAGTCTTGTGGGAAGGCAAAACTTGGTGCTTTACATGTAGTTTCAGGTACTTGAAGTGTTTCTAAACATTGCTTGACATTAAAATAAGGGCTATGTACATGTAAGTGGTAGTCAGGGCAAAGTCAGAGTTTGGGGATTGTGTGATCACCAACTTACCCAGTATGACGTCACATGTGGGTACTCTTTTCTTGAGGAAAAATCCCATTATGTTTTATGGAACCTGAAAGAAAATTCCACTCAATCTTTAATCTTCATTTTGCGGGATATGAAATTAATTAAGGTGAGGTGTAGTTTTATAACGAATTCAATCTGCATTATTGGATCAGTAATAGCAATTGGCATGTTATACCCTATGGAATGATTTCATAGCTGTTTGAGCTCATGATATGTTTGTTTTGTTTATTTTTTTTTTACTTAAAGTCTTTCATATAGAAATAAGCACTTATAATCAGCTGTGAAGCTTCAGCTATATAATAAGGTTAATTCTTGTACAGTTTACCTAGAACTTTTCTTTTCTGTTGCTATGTAAAACTTTATTTGCTAGCATTGATTTATTTGTGTGTCTTCCCTTTTATGTTTCAATATGATTGAGATGTGTCCTTTAAGAGTCTGATTCTGCATGTGTATTCTGAGTATAATTGATAAGTAGGAAGCGTTTCTTTTCTGGAACCTGAACTTTAAGTGAGGTTACATTGATATCATATACATATCATAATCAATTTTGTTTCATGTAGATGTAGTAAAAAGAAAGAAAAACAACTTCAAAGGTGTACAAATCACTAAAACTATACAATATCTTCCATTCGTGAATAGAATCACATTAATTTTACTATTTTATTTTCATGATGAAATGCATTAGTAGTTAACTCTTTGATTTCTATATTTACACCATAGCTTTCAAGTAATTGAATAGGACTTTCACCTGGAATTAAAATACATTCTGAAAGTAATTAATTTCGGGTTAGGAATCTTTAAGATCCTGGTAAAACTTTCCCTTCCTTTGTTATACACACGCAAAGCCATATACAAATCAGATTTATTTTAGAATCGCATATACATTTAGTTCAGCAATGTGCCACAACATTAGTGTAGATTATAATTATTTTGATTATTACATTTGCATGATAGCTCTTTATCTAATTATTTTTTTCAATGTAATCCACGTGTGCCAATATTGCAAATAAATTTGACAGTCGGCATGAATCAAGATGATATTTTTCTTTGCTCTTATTTGCTCACTTGTGCGAAGAAGTACTGCTCTATTGTGATTGCTAGTGGTGGATTTCAAACCATGGACCTATTACGGATGGACATTCGACGTGATTTTTTCTTTGCATGACCCAACGAGACCCACCGCCTTCTCATTATGTGCATCTTATACCCCCTTCACGGATACAGTGTAAATGGAAATATTGTATAACCATCAAAGTTTTGGTTTGTAATCCTTTCCACTGAATCCACTATCATTTCCAAATAATATGATTCATTTCATTTGTTATACTTAAAGCTACCCCCCCCCCCGAAAGAATAAAAAATAAAATACCTCTAAAAAGGAATTTTCACTGAACTGCAGACCTGCCAAAATGAAATCATTTTTTCTCAGCATTGGTAACAAATAGAGAAGAGAAAGAATGAACGCCATGGCGACCAGAAGTGTACATATCATCACTATCCATTCATCGAGCCAAGGCATGGACACTGCTTTTAGGTTAATTGATGGAAACCGAATTAATTTTTTTACTATGATTAGGATAAGTAGTTGATCATAAAGTAATGAATATAGTGTTGAGAAAGCGCAAGTGAATAGTAACGTATGCATAACGACGTGTACCAATTATTCAAAAACAGTTTCCACCATTCGAGGCCAATATGGAATGCTAAAATGCAACAACAACAAAAACAGAGGGGGGAAATGGTCTCCATAGTTTTAATACGACGTGACTGTGTTATTATTTTATATTTTTTTGACATGACAATGATGAAGCTCCATATCTGAAAGATTATACTAATATCAAATATAAAATTTGTCATTCATGTAAAGATGTGCAATTGAACTGAGAGAAAGAAAAAAAAGAAAGAAGAAAATGGCCTCCAATAAAAGGAAGAACCCCGAGAAGAAAAAGAAAAAGAAAAAGAAGAAGGGGGAAGAGAAAAAAAGGAGAAGACCAAGGGTGTTAAAAGGGAGAAAAGGTTCAATAAAATAAGACAATAAAACGAATGATACATATAGATTAAGATTAAAAGACCAAGGGAAAAGGTTGGAGAGCATGAAGATTGGAGGGAGATGACAAGAGAGGATTCGAAAGAGGGAGAAAGGGATTCGTTGTTGGAAGAGCAAGAGAGACACGGATACAGGTATACGGAGAGAGATGGAGAGACATAAAGAAAGAGAGAAGGCAGAGAGAAAGAGGGCCAGAGACAATGAGACAGAGAGAGAGAAAGATAGAGGGTGAGAGTGAACCAGAACGATATGAATGGATGCCCTGAGGGATGTTGATCGGTGTATCCTGAATAGAAACAGTACATAATATAGATATATCAAGGTATGCCTAACATTTTGCATTTCACCTCCTGTAAGGGTCCTAGTTTGATGAACACATCAATTAGTATTATTGTTGAAGACCGAATTTAAGTCTACTATGATTAGGATAAGAAAGTGATCATAAACTGAAGAATGGAGTGTGGAGAAGGCGCAAGTAAATACAAATACTGGACAAACGCCAGAGTCTTGGATTTTTAATCATTTAAACTGAGTCCACTTTCATTCACAGATAATATGATTCATTTATTTTAATGGGCATTTATGAGATAGGTAAATGGCTTTTATTAAACAAGAAAAGGGGCATTTATCAGAAGGAAAAAGGGCACTTATTAGAAAGACAAGGGGCACTCATATGAGAGGTGAGAAGGGGCACTCATTAAAGATGAAAACGGGCATTTATCGAAAGGGGAAGGGACACTTATTACAAAAGAAAAGGACACGTGTTAAAGTAAACTGGGCACCTCCCAGATTTGAATAGGGGTAATTATCATCGGCGAAGGGGAAATATCAGATGTGGTAAGAGACAATTATAATAATGTTGAATCGGTACCTATTCAAAAAAAAAGGGGGGGCACTTTAAGGGTACTTGAAAAACGTGGGGGCCACTGTGCCACTGTGCCACCCTGCCCCCGGCTCCGTCGCCTCTGATCTAAAGGACTTGTTATCATTACAATTTCATATGATCAACACCGATGCAATTGGTGTTGGTGGAAATTGATGTGGTTGTTATGTATCAAAGCGAGTCAAACATTACTGTGTATTGTAATTCATTGAGAGCTCATTTTTCTTGATCTTTTTGTGGAAAGTGCTAGAGTAAATCGAGTCAGAACCCTGCAAAATTGGATATACAAATGTAAAAATGGTGGATCTAGGAGAATGGGGGGAGGGGGGGGGGGGGGGGGGGGCGAAACCCCTTTAAATAACAATGCCTTAAGTACACATACAATTTCTAACCAATGAATGTGAACCCGTCAGCTATTTTAGATCCTAAAAGACACCTTTTTCTTCTTAAAGTCTTCATTTCTAAAAAAAAGTAATCTGTCCAATCTGAACTAATCTCATCTAATCAGTTAGATTTCTTATAGATACGGCTTTTAACAAAGACGGTTCTAAAGCCAACTAAGAATGCGCGCTTCATGTTCAATTGTGTATGATACGAAATCATAATATAATTTGCTCCCGTAGAAGACCAATGTCGTCGACAAATATAAGCAACACCAAGAAATCAATTGGCTAAAAAGGTATCACCTGAGTCTTTGACCTATATACATTCTCAGATTTTATTGAATAATAGTTTGCAAGTGTTTGTTTTACGTAACTGCTAAAGCATGTGTGTGGTACTATGCTTATCAACTAGGGGACCTACGGCCTTAAGTCATAACTGAAAGGAATGAGGAACAATGCCCAACAAAGGGGCCCTAATATAGCACATCGACGCGGTTTTGCACCTAGGACCTCACAGTTACGAGACCATTGCTTTGCCACTGAATCACGACTGTACGCAGCGGGGGCTTGCGTAGGGGGCAGACCCCACAAATAAAAAAAACTAAGAAAATGCAATAAATTATCAATAATTCATTGTATTTTGCCCCGGTCCCCAACATAAACAAATCCTCCGTGTGGTCATGCCTTGAACCCTAATGCATGGACAAACAGAGTGTATAATAGATACATACCCTCAGGTGTAGTGCCCGACCAAATGAAAATCGCCAAAGTTGTCCCAATATTTAAAGAGGGTCACACCCACCAAATCAGTGATTATCGTCCTATTTCGTTACTAACAACTTTTTCTAAGATCCTGGAAAAGATCATATACAACAGAACAAATAGTGTTTTTTTTTATGAGTATAGTATATTGTGCAAGGTTCAAGGTGGATTTCGTGAATACCGGATGCGCTCTTGACATTTATTGACAAAGTTATAAAAGCACTTGACCATAATACCCACACCATCGGTATATTCCTGGACTTCTCCAATGCCCTTGGCACAGTGGATCACAATAAAATGTTACTTAAGCTGAATCATTATGGAATTGGAGGAAAGGCCTTAGAGTGGTTCAGGAATAACCTCACTAATAGAAAGCAATGTGAAGCTATCGACAACTGTACATCCACCTTAGGTGACATAACATGCGGTGCACCACAAGGATCCATACTAGGCCCTCTATTATTCATATTTAATGACTTTTATCTTTCATCTAGGCTTTTATCCTTTATAGTCTTTGCTGACGATTCAAATTTATTTTGCACCAATAAGGATCGACACCAGCTCTCCAAAATTTTAATGCTGAATTAAAATAAATGTAGCAATTTGGATTTCAGCAAATAAACTTTCACTAAATCTTGATAAAAACCCATTTTATGATATTCAGCAATAGTATTGCAACATTTCTTGAACCTACCATTCTCAACACACATGCACTCACGCAGGTTACTAATTACAAATTTCTTGGTATTATATGGCATGGTTAGGGCGAGGGGGAGGGCGAGGGAGAGGGTCCGAGAGTAATGACATTACCTACCCTGTCGGCTAAAACTAATAGTTAGAGAACATGTTTGTTTGTTATTTCAAGTAAGAGTACCGTAAAATATGGCAAAATGTCCAAGAAATATATGCATAAAATAAAGTTCTAAAGACAATTGCTTCGGCGCTGAACCACGAGAAGTATTTGTTTCAATTTACAAGAAATCTATTGTCATAATATGAACATTATGTCACATAAAAAGGTCACCAATCAGTTCTTACTTTGTTTCAAATCAGTCGCAGAAGAGGATCGATTCTCTGTTTCCTACAAAATCCGAAGATTAATCGGAACTCCTTGAGTCGCCACCAATAGATGATGGAGTTTGCAATCCAATTGATGTTAATCATCACGTCCGAAGCATTGAGTTGACATTCGTCTCCATAACCTAGACTTACTCGGATCCAGACTACCGAGGGACAGATCCAGCAAAGGACAGTGATCCCAAAGATTAGTCCGAAGGCGCGGAGTACTCGCTGGTTCTCCTCCTTACGTTCTTGGATGATGTTGCCGCCGCAAGGTACACTGGCAACGGAACGGTAGATGAAAAGGTAACAGAGGCCAGTGGCGATGGTGGTCGACCAGGAGAGGGAGAGGAGAGCGATGAAAAACTGATCGTCGTCGATGACGGCAATGGATGAAGAGCAGGTGAACCCTAATGCCCATGTCACGATACATGTCATGATCAATCGCGGTGTGGTGATGATGTTCCGAGAGCCAAAGGGGTCCACACGAATGGTGATGAATTGGTATCCGGTTACCAAGGCGATGCTTAGAAGTGATAAGGTCAAGGTTTTCCCTTCACGGGTATATTTGTAATGTTTTTATATTGATTTATATTCGACTATTCAATTTTTGAGTGCATGATTATGGATATTTAGGTAATGAAATGATGAGAATTTATTGCTTCACATTAATGCATTCCAAATAGTTAATTTGGAGAGGTAATGGTGGATGAAATTCCAAACAGAATGTGGTGTAATTATACCTGAGAGACCAATTGTCATAGACCTTTGCAGTGTACAAGAGTGATGATTTTTTTGGGGGGTCAAAATTTACAAACGCAGACAATTATGATAATTGACGATTCACATACTAAAATAGATGTGTGTATGGGCCTACTACTTGATTACCAGGATGTGTA